ACCTCTCCTATGAAGACAGGCTGAGAGAATTTGGGTTGTTCAGCCTGCAGGAGAGAAGGCTCTGGGGGGACCTTATAGCAGCCTTACAATAACTGAAAGGTGCCTATGAGAAAGCTGGGGAAGAACTGTTCACAACGGCATGTAGCAATAGGATGAGGGGTCGATGGTTTTAAACTGGAAAAGGGTACATTTAGGTTGGATGTTAGGAAAAAGTTCTTCAATATGAGGGTCGTGGATCATTGGAACAGGTTGCCCAGAGAGGTAGTGGAGGCCCCATCCCTGGAGATATTCAAGGTCATGCTTCATGGGGCTATAAGCAACCTGCTCTAGTAAAGATGTCCCTGCTGATGACCTTTGAAGGTCCCTTCCAATCCAATACATTCTATGATTCTATGACTCTATGAGGTCTCTTTCCAGGATGTGAGATGCAGTCTCTGGTGGACTGTGAAGTATTAGCAGACACAGAGTGCTTATGCTGAGAACAATTGTCCTTTTGAACTAAATGCAGATTTGCAGAGCCTGCTACTCATTTTCCTGAAAAAGAGACAGCTTCCTACAGAAAAAGAATTGCTGTTTCAAGAATGTTGTTTCATTATGCAAAATTGTTCATGATTTCCAGTCTAGCTCACAAGCATTCAGTTCGAACGCAGAGTAATACCACAAAAAATGTAGTTTCAGCAATGTAAAAACATGAGGATTTTAACAAAGTACATGGAACTAATCTGTGTTATTTCACTGCCACTGCACCTCACTTGCTCTTTGGGTTAGTAAATATACAACCACATTGAATTTGCTCTACAGATGGAAAGTGGAGAAAGCAAGCTATTCACATCTATGTTAGGCAAGCAGCTTGATGTCATTCAAGGCACTTGTGAGGAACTTAAATTTCCTCATTGTCCATGAAGAGAAATAAGCAAATCAGAGCAGTTATCTTAGATGCCGAAAGTAAACCCAGACAGATCTGTGTGACTATGCTGCAATTAAAAGCAATGGCAAAAATATTCTACTGACACAAAGTTGGAAGAATGGCAATTCTTGCCAGAGACAGAGAGAGGTGTTGATGTTCCTTAAACAAGAGTGTACAAGCTTTCAGGGAGATTTAGTCATAAGGTAGATCTGAATATTCATAATTTTTTTTTAACTTTGAAAGGTCATCCTTTTTTTAAGCAGTTCTACCAGTGATACTGCTGGAAGCTTTTCAGTCTGTGTCCATTGTCTCTTGCTCTTTCACTGGGTACCTCTAAGAAGAGTCTGGCTCCACCTTTGCTTCTCCCCATCAGGTATTTATACACATAGATAAGTTCCTCCAGAGCCTTCTCTTCTCCAGGCTAAACAATCCAGCTCTCTCAGCCTCTCCTTATGGAAGGGATGTTCCTTAATCATCTTCATGGCTCTTCAATGGACTCACTCCAGTATGTCCATGTCCTTCTTGCACTAAGGAGCTCGTAACTGGGCCCAGGATTCCAGATGTGTCTCAACAGGACTGAGCAGAGGGAAAGTATCACCTCCTTCAACCTGCTGGCAATGCTGTTCCTGATGTCTCACTTCTCTTAGAGAATGGAGAGCAATGGCCCCCCACATTGTGGTGGAAGTGAGGTGATCTCCTTCAGTAAACTATGGACATACATATGTGAGTTAAGAAAAATGGCAGTCTGGTGGACTAGTTTTTGTGCAGACAGCTTGTTCGTTGACTACTATTCTTATTACTGTATGTGGTTTCTAGATACAATTATCTTCACTACAGGCGAGAACACAGGGCAGGAGGTTCCTTCAAGTTTGTTGACTAAAATAATGAGAAGGTAAAAATTCACTACAAAAAAATGTGCAAATTATCACTTTTAGTACTCAAATTAGGCACACGAACTCATGTTAATACTATGTAAAACTTTACAATATGAACAGATCAGATTTGTAAAGTTTGATGAAAATATCTACAACTAGCAGAAGCATTATATATTTTATCCCAGAGATACTTCCATTTAGCAAACAAATCTGAATACGTCAGTAGGAGAGTAGATTTTAAATTAACGTCAGAAATCAATATTTACCCATTAATAATGCAGGGTCCTTTTTTGAGATGGCAGTTTTTTCCTGTAAAACCCTGGGCACACAGACAAATATATCCTCCATCACCAGTCTCTATGCATGTTGCATTATTGGTGCAGGGCTTTGCAGAACATGGGTGAATATCTGTTTTTTAAAAAAAAAGAACAACACAAAAAACAACAGGGCTCAGTTAATCTAATGAGAAAGAATCAGTAAATAGTATATAATACTTCAAATAAAGTATAGCTTTAATTGTCCTTCATCCTGCATTTTATAAATTCTGATTTACTTCTTCTGTTAAAACAGAGTTCAGATTGTTCAACTACTGCAAGCACTTTCAGCTTGTTTCTCTCTTCCTAGCTCCCATTTGTAAAGTATGTTTGAGTTGTTCTAGTCTACAAATAAGTGATATTATCAAGAAAATATTAGTAGGGGAGAAAGAACTATGTAGTCTAGTCATCCTTTCACAACCTTGGCTTCTGCATGAGCAGAATCCTGATGAAGCAATCAGGAACTGGGAATTCTCCCCACTCCCTGCTGGAGAGCCTATCATTATGTGCTTATGAACAAACATTTCATAATAACAGAGACCAGCAAGTTACAAAAATCTCTTAAAATTTCATCTTTTGTCTGGGCTGCAACCAACTCTTACATAACTGTACCAGAAGAGACGGCTGTATGACGTCTGGACTCAAAAGATATACATCTCATTTTCTTTACAGTTTCCCCGCTGAGCCACTTCCCACTCAAATGATTATTGAATTTTAAAAATAATTAAAAATAAATAAACAAACAAGTGCATATTTTAGCCAACTAATGAAGCAGCTGCAGGGGAGTGCTGACTGCAAGTTATCTGATGCCTCGCACACTCATGTGCACACATACTTTCTAAGAAGATGAAAAGGGATTTAAGGGCATTTGTATTTTATTTCCCATAACATAACACAGAAGTTAGATGATATCATAAGGTACTGCAAAATTGTAACCAAAGCAAAGCATTTCAACAGCCTCGGCTTTCACATACAATCTTCCCTGCATAAGAGGCTCTATTTTCTTATGTATTAGCCTATTCTCACTGCAAGACAACCACTTTGCATGAACTTTGAGTGTAAGCTCCAGTTTTCACAAGGACCAAAATAACCTTTAATGCTTTTTGGAGCAGTGCTGTTTGCCACCTATTTTCTCGGGCTGTTCAGTGTTGGACGTGGTACCTGTCCCTGTACTATGCAGTGTATGTCTGAGAGCTGCAGAGGGAAACTCTTGTGCTGGGCAGCCTGGTTCCATGTGTTCCTATCCCCAATTTCAAGGCCTATTTCCAGAGGATGAAAGATGCCATGGCATTCAGTTAGGCAGGATGGTGCACTCCATTGCAAAGAGGTTAACTAGCAGTGATAACACTAATACCAACAGATTTATTTCTTTAAGTGCCATGTCTGTTCCCGTGACTGCAATAATGGCAATAAATGGTATCACTGATCCTGGCCTACACGTTTACAGTGGATCGAGCCCAATCTATAATCTGCACGCCCAGAAATTACCAGAAAGGTCATTCTTGACCTGAACTGAGGACCAGGACATCCATAGTAAAAACAACAGCTACACAGTCAGAGGCATTAGCAAAATGATTGATGATCTAAAACTACTTCAGAAAGGAATCTTCTATAATCCAAACGGAGACTAACTTTTCTAGAAAAGAGAATAAGAGATATCACCACCAGTCAAATTTTTTTTTTCTTCCCGTGCTTAGCAAGCAAATAAGCTGCTGAGACTATATTTTACAAATATTTCAGGTGCTTACAGTAGCAGCCAAATGAACTTCAGACTCTCCCACAATTTTCCATTCCCAATTTTGCCATCCTTGGGAACTGGCATCTGTCACAGTTGGTAACATTAAAACAGTGACTATGCCAGAAATTCCCTGGCAAATATTACACTTTCTATAAGCAGCAGAAAGGAAGAATTTCAAAAGAATTACAAATCTGCAGTGCTCACAACTCGTCATCAATCTCCACAGAAACAACAGAAACGTAGCTTTCTAACATGCCTTATCTCATTACATACCTGAAGCTAAAAATTGTCTCCAATGGCTAAAAAAATGGCACTCAATGTCATGCAAAACAATGCATGTAGAGTAGGTAAAACCACTGAGATGAAAGACTTTCAACATAACATGTCCCTGCAGATGAAAAGATGGTTAATTCTTTTTGGCTGAATATTCTTGTCAGCTCTTCATGGGAATCTAGATTCAAATTGGCAAAGATGACTCTGAGGTGACTCTGAGTGTTGAGAGAAATAACAGTTTCTGAACTTAAGCAAGGGATACCTTTTTTTTTTTGTATTATAGAACTACCTTAATAAATATGTATTAAATAATACTTTTCCTTAAAGATACAGGTACAATTTCTAAAGCATTGCTTTGTGTCCTAAGTACCAGCTGCAGCTGCAAGGCTCAGCAAAGGCCAATTCTTCAGCTTGCTTATGCTATGATGGCTCATTCTGACTGGCAAGGGGTAAGACAGTGCACACAAGAGCTGTGCTTAGCCCTCACATCTGAGGGAAGTGGCAGCCCGTTCAGGCAGACCTCAGTTATGCTACTCCACTGAATCATCACTGGGTTAAGTAAAGGAAGAAATAAGCACAATGTTTTCCTTTTCAGGAAGTATTAAGTATTATGCTCACTTCTTTCTGAACAGAAAGTAGCATATATATAATGTGCCAGATAAATATTTCAAATAAATATAATATATTCAAGATTACTTGTTTTTTTACAGAAATGTTTGTATGACAACATGGGAGTAGTTGTTTGTTTGCCTTGTCAATGATGATCACTGTTTAAAATAGAATGATGAAATTATGCTTTGCTCACATGTATGCCCAGTTACAAAACACACTTCATGCTTCTGCCTAAATTATTATAAAAGTTCCAGGTTTATGTGCTGCTGCCCAGAATCCCCTTATTATTTGGTGCTAACATTCAATCTTTTAAAATTCGCTATCCAGAAGGACTTTTGCATGTCTGCAGCACCAGATGGGGCTGTTTCACCTCACTTGCTTACAGACAGGAAAGGATGTGCAAACCTATGTCACAGAGGCTGCCAACCCAGCCCTCCTCACAGATGCACTGCCAGGGCTTGGCACAGCTGCCGTGCAAACACCCAGGGAAAGGAACACACTGATTACAAAGAGCACCCTGCCAACCAGGTTGACACCTGAAAGAGATAAAAGACAAGACAGAGGCATCGTTTATTTTTAATAAACATAATTACAAGGATGTTCCCCTTTTTGAGGCACAATAAATAAACTTTCGGATACAAAATTGGACTATGCAGCACATTTGAACAAAAAGATACCATCAATGCTTCTGGGATACTAGAAGCAGTTTATGTGAAGTAAACAGTTTCATTCTGTGAGAAATAAATAAATAAATAATTGTTAATCAATGTAAATATATTTCCTACTGGAAAAAGTAGACTAAAAAGGCACCTAGATGTCAATGCTTTATGATTCCAGTTACTGTATCCTAATGGAGTGCTGTTTCATTACAGTTCCATATTTTCAGAGGGTAAATCATTTCTGCTTCTGTCTATTTTACAAGGACTATGAATTATTGAAGCTAGACATTCCTGTGCTAATAGCCCTGTCTGACAGATCTTTTTACCTGCATTCACTGGGAAATTCACAAAATCCATTCTCTGGGTGGCAGCCAGTTTTACAGTTCACACCTAGAAGAAGAGATTTATATGAAACCAGAAAAATCAGCACTCAGGACAAAAATCATATAATGTCCTATACACATTACTGATGTTTTAAAAGAACCCAGACTGCATAATGTTCTGTTTTTTCTTTTTTTCTTCAAACACATGTTTTTGCAACATAAAATTTTAAATGAATTTAATCTGGAGCACATTATAGAGTGTTCCCATAGGACAAGCGAAATGACATAAAGAATTAACCGCAAAAGAATACAAAGTCACTTTAGCACATGTAAAGTGTATGTAACATCACTATACACTACTTTAAAAGGGAAATTTCAGAACAGATCCATGTAAATCACTTCACAACATGCCACTCCAAATGTATTGTTTCAGAACCGCTCGAAACACAGAAGTACCTTTAGTCGGGAAAGAAATTCCATTTAAAACAACTTACAGTAAATGTGATTAATTCATTTCAACCCTACGTCAGATGAAAAAAAAAAAATCAACTTTTTCATTAAATCATGCACGAATAAATAACCTAAGTTAAGGAGAAGAGGTCTCAGTCACATGTTTTGTTTCAAGTATCTGCATCGAGCATCGCTCCTCTGAAACATCCCCAGCAGCCGCTAACA